TGGAAGCGATCATTGACGGAATAGAGGCTTGTCTTGACAACGGAAGGCGTCGCACACCGGGAGGTGTTGCCCCAGCGGTCATCGTGGTATCATATGCCGGAAATGATGTCTACGGCAACCACGGATTTGTGGGCAATCCTTGGGTGGACACCAACGTGCTCCACCGGAATCCTGCCAAGCAGAGAGCAGCCTATGAGTGGCAGGCAGAGCTGGCACAGAAACACGCCCAGCAGATGAGGCGTCTGGCGGACTTGAGGCAGAGGAAAGACGTGGCAGCCCTGATTGTCATCTGCTACTGCGACTCGCAGAGTTATGGACTGCCGGAAGAATACGCCCGTCAAATGTGCCAGTCAGCGGATGTCTTCACTCGCCTTGGCGTCACGAATGTGACAGGCACCACCCTGGTTCGATCGTGTCAGAGGTATGACAACTTCCACTGCCACAACACCGAAGAGAACCGGGCGATGTTCGTGAAGTACTACGCAAACGTTGCTTTGTTTGCCTACCACTACTGGGTGCTCGCTGGCGTTGACGTGTTGCGCAAAGATGCCAACCTCTTCGCGAAACCTCGTGGGGAGAAAACCCACCGCCAGTATATGCTTGAGCACATCTGGAAGCGACGCATTGACTCCGGGTACCTCTTCTTGGGTGACTTTGACGAGCACGATGAGCTTATCCCGGGTCAAAAGAGGCAGACTGCCATCGACCAAAAGAATGGCTGGCTCCTGACGGTCTCTGAGACTACCGAGGTCGCTCACATGAATGATCTTGGGGACCCCGTCTACGCGACTAAGGAGCAGATTGAAGCTGCCAAGCTCTTGCCATTCAATCAGCGACTTTACAATATGCCACGGGGAACCGTTGGTCCGGATTTCTATGACGAGGGTCAGGATGTGCAAGTCCCGGCTGAACCGTCGAAGGCTGATCAGACAATGCCGGATGCAAGTGTGCCGGAAGTCATCGAGATTGACGACACCTTTGCGCCCAGCGCTGATTCGCCTCCGGGGACGGAAGGTCGAGATGCAAACAACCAGGCTCCCGTGAGCACTCCGGGCATGGAGTTCGTGTCCGTCACCGCTGATATGCCAAAGCACGGTGACACCGAGGTGGACCCTGTTACCATCACGGAAGAAGAGGAGCTTCATGTATCCAATGAACCCATTGCGGATGAAAACTATGTCAATGAACTTCTCAAAGATCACCTTGACTCCGCCATCAAACAAGGCTTTGAAAACAAAGATCAGCCAGATGATGACTCAGATGAGGAGATCGTATTCAAGGAACCGATTCTCACATCTATGCATGCCGATTCATGTCAGGTCGCCGGGGTAACCTACCAGTTGAGGAAGAAGGAGGATGAGAGCGATGTCATTCGCATCTACATGGCGGAAGAAGACATCCCTCAGCTCACTGGTGAGGCACTCAGGAAGTTCCGTGAGGTTACAACTCTGGGGAACGAGCCCGACCTGGCCAACAAGGCACCACAACCGAGGATCCCAAAGGCGAAGGCATCAGGTGAGCCGAGGGCACCAAAAGTGCCAAGCGAGACTGCAAAGTCGAAAACAAAACCGGCATCACCGAAGGCAAAAGCACGCCCGGCGGGAGCTGAGGCCGATGTTGAAATGAAGCCAACAGAGGAAACTCAGCCCAAAGTACCAAAACGCCCGGCGGGAGCTGTGGCCTCGGATTCGACCCCGACAGCAAAACCAGCTGTCAAAGCCAAGGCCATGCCTCGGGCACCACCGGTGCCTCCCCTTTCGTCGCCTCTTTGGGGAAAACGAAGTTGTGGCGTTGCAGTCAAGATCGGTTCCGGGTGCTGCCAATTTGGCGAACCTGAACTCGAAACAAGTCTGGATTTCCCGACGCGTCTCGGGCTTGCTCCGAGGGTGGGAGCATAGTAAACAATCCTGGCACAAGGTGCAGCCTCCGAGCTTCGACGCTGGGCTGTGGATGGATTTTGGAAAGGTGTACTCGTTCATCAAGCGGAAGTACGATCCTTACCAACGATGAACTGCTGACGGTCATTACATCCAATCACAGATTCATGCTCGAGGTGAGGATTGCGCCAAAGGGGACTTTGGTCGGTGGAAAATACCAATATACACCTCTCCGGATCAAAGCGATTCAGAACCATAATGAATGGTCAAGCAACAACGTGAAGGACGCACTTCCTGAGCATGAACGCTTTGTCACTCTCGATGAGGAGTATACTTCGGTGGAATACCTGGCCGGCAAATTCCCTCGGGTTCCGCGAGGTGCGCTGGGAAAGGTGAAGGAGGTGGCCCCCCACCATCCTCTATCACTACACGCACCGGGCAGCACTGGTTGAGATCATCAACATGGGATTGATTCCCGGCGGCAATCGAACTGGAGCCAGGTTCACATTCTTGACGAAGGAAGATCCGTGGACAATTTCGGGCACTGACTATGCAGCGATGGCGGCGACTCGCCCCATCTGCGTTGCCTTGGATCTCCAGATGATGATTCTGAACGGGCACCGGCTCATAGAAACAACTGCTGGTACAATCCTATGCCCTGACTGGCTGGCAAACCGGAACGTGATTTACGTGTATGACATGGAGTCCCGATGCTACGCCTTCGCGAACCATGTGTACGCACACTATCGCGGCATCATTACCGGTGAAACAAAAGCCTTCAATTCAGCACGCACTGGGGGGACCAGTTGCCGATGACGATGAAATGGTGAAAAGCCCACTGGAAAAGTACACCTACCAGGTCCTTGGTGACTATGAGAGGTGGTGTGGTAAGGTGGACACTTTTTCCCCATTCGTGTACGGTGAACTGTTTGAACGCCCAGGCGTGAAAGACCAAATGATATCAGGAAAGCAGAATCCTGATTTGGAAACATACGAGGTCACGTATGTCGTTCGCAGGCCCAATTTCAACGCCTATAGGAACCAGGTGTCGCCCAAAGAGATGCTGCCCAACTACAACCGACCTCGGTTTGATTGGCGCAAGATCCACCCCGAGACTGAGGGTTATGGCAACACTCGATGGATGGTCGTTGAGGGCATCCAGATGCCAGAAGATCAGTGCCCGACATGCACAAATACCTACACCCATGGCATGATGTCCTGCATCACATGCGGCACCTTCCTCAACAATGCCTCGGATCTGTGTAAAGCTGCTCAGCTCATTCGGATCGAGGAAATTGCAGCCGATCTCGGTATCGAAGTCACGATGGACATGGTACCTGAGGACAGGCTGCAAGGAACAGGTGTGAGGAGGACGCCGGCGGGGACGCCTGGCCATGAAGTTCAACGTGCTTCTCGTTCGGGCATCAACATCTTGAAAGCGAACGCCAAAAGCCATGTCCAGAAGGCGGACAAAATGTCCATGACAGTATCGCAGCGACAGCTGACTGACGCTTTCTACGCGTTCAACTGTGCAGCCCAGGACCTCTCTCCAATCTGCATTCAGTTCCTGGAACGACTATCAGATGCCATCATCCCTGACCCTCCGAGGACAAGGGAAATGATTGCTCGTGGCGTCGGTCATCGATACGCTGGTAAAGTCATCTTCATGAACGAACCAGCAAAAGGGAATGATGCTGACCTGAGCGAGGACTTCTTCATTTATTGGAAGAACAGCCTGCACCGTCCTGAGACTTTCGCTGCGGACTATTGTCAAGGTGCGAAACGACCCGCAATCCTGGGATTTGGAGGTGAGTGGCGAAGTGAGAAGACAGACCCTGATGATGTATTGGATGAACTCCTGGAATTCGTGATGGGCGATGCTCAATTTGTACCTGGCTTGGATATCAACCTTGTGAAAGAAACAAGGGCACTTGTGATTCCCAAGGCCAAGGCCGCACCAGGTCCAGGTGAAAGTCTGGCCAGAGCAACACGTACTCAAGCCGAGACATCAGAGCAACGCTGGCGAGGAGCTGCTGGAAGTGATCAATACCATGATTGGCAGCAGTCATCCTCATCGTCTTCCTGGTGGTCCTCATCCAACCGCAACTGGTGGCAAGATGATCGCGGTCGTGGCAGTGACTGGCGAGGACATGACTGGTGGAGTCAGCGCAGGTGGTGAACACGACGCACAGCGGGAGCTGTTGCCTGTGGAGAAGAGAATGAAATCTACGGGTGACTCGGCTGTCTTTGTGCACTGTGTTTTTCCCTCAACGCACCGCGGGAGCGGTTGCCTGGATGACCGTTTCTGTGATGCACCGGGGGACCGGATGCCTGAAACCAGCAACTAATTCGTTTGAGTTCAGGTCGATGAACTTGGCTCTCAATCCTTGCAATGAAGAGCGCACATCTTTTGTTGTGCTTTGTCGCCACGCGGGAGCGTGTGCCTTGATGGCTTTGTTCCTGCTTTCTAAAAGGTTGGCATGGCACTCCCAGTTCCGCTGCGCAAAAGAGATTATCTTTGTGAGCTTGCTTTGAACGTTCATGCATGAATCAGTTGAGACATGTTCAACCCTAGCATCAATGCATGACAGTGCATTATGTGATCCGTCCTTGAGGTCAACCATCCTCTCCATCTCAAGGCACGTTCCGGTTCGATGCTTCGCACGTACCGGGGGACCGGATACCTTCGTAGGTCCTTAATTAGTGCACTGTACATAACTTCACTCCTCCCATTTTCGTTCAGCGGGGGGGTGTTGTTTCACGCTAGGATATCGTATACATGTCTCACTTACCTACCGTTTGGCTCAAGGAAAACCAGGTGCGACTTGTTGGTAGTTCTCGGTCGTTTACCTGTATCTACACTAGGTACTGGATGGAGGATAGCTCACGCTTCTTCAAGGAAGCTCCCCCCCGCCACCCTAAAGGACAGCTCATGCACTGATTTGGTTCCCAGATCGAGTGCACGCGATCGCACCTCACGGATCGTTGCTGCCGACACCATACCAAGATTGTGTGATCAAGCAGTTTCAAGAAAAAACACTTCACACTTGGAACATCGTGACAAACTGGGCGATGGTGCGAAACGGGGCCCTTCAATGCTTTTGGACGCTTCAAGTGGCCAAGGCCTATTCATCACTACCTCGCCCGTTCACGGAAGCCGTTTTGGTGTCGCAGGCTGAGAGGAAGAGAAACTGCAAAACACGCAGAAGAAGAAACACTTGAGTCTCTAACGACTCTTTGCAGTTCGGGCAGGGTTTTGCAAAGCATTTTTGCGGGCAAAGGATGCCATAACGAAAGAATTTGGCTTCAGGGATAGCAACGTCAATCTATATAGAAACAATGCATTTGTTCTACCAATATTGTTTCTTTTGACGTTAGACCGTTAGACGTGTTTGTCTTTAGACCTCTTAACCTTCTTTGCACGTGTTTGCTTTAGACCTGTAGACCTATTCTTCCTTTCCCTTTCGACCTTTCGTCCGTTTCTGTTGTTCCTTTTGACCTTTTAGAGCTCTTGCTTCCTGCCTTTGTTGCTGTGCCTTATGGCCTTAAAGCATTCCTTCCATTCTTTCATTGACATGCATATTATATCTCAAACAGGTTTTGCATGGCATGTTCATGAGACGTGTCAACAGCTTGCCTTGTGAGAAAGCCAAAAAAGAAGTGTGGTAGCAGGCGATCATGCCTTTTGCTACTTCATGTGCGCATGTGAATCGAAATGCTAGCGATCGTGGTCCCCACAAGGGTGCTAGCGCTGTAATGTGCAGGCTGAGTTTGCACCAGAGTAGTCAGTTTCCATCAACCATTATCTTCACAACCTAACCCCCCACCGATAGTCTAACGTGCTAGCTGACATCATGCTATAATACAGACAAGTCTTAATCAGCGATCTTTATTATTCCCACTGTTTCCGAAAGTTGGAACACTATTTTATCGCCCACTTCAAGGTGATGCTGAAGAACTAGCCACGCCGCAGGAATCCCGGAGTTTTGATTTGTTTTTTGCAGTGCATGCCCTGCACGCAGTGCTGTACTCAGTACCCCACTTGACGCTTACTGGTTACTTCATTTGATACGTGCTTCTCCTCTAAGTCCTCGGATCTACGTGGATCAGCCCGGCACTTGTGGAACCGAATGCGTTATTGCACTACAAATGCATTTAGGAACATCTAGGAACTCTGTTTCAATCAGATTGGTTTTTCAGGGAAGCTTCTCAAGCCCATTCTTGCTGCTACAGCAAGCTTTACAACAACGCTCAGCAGTTTGCTTATCTTACTCGGGCTCCCTACTTCCCCTCCCTCGCACGAGGGAATAACACATATAATATATATAATATATATACTGTGTGTGTGTGTTTGCATCCGCACAAAAAATTGATACTCAAATCATACCAGAAGATACCCTAAACGGCTTCATCAAGCCGTGGATGGAAAGTACTGTATGTGTATGTCATCGTCCCAGTTTCCCGGCCCCTCCAAGCAACACAAAGCACATCATCGAAACAACAGCAAGAAGCCAAGAACATATGCCGACAACCGGACAATAGAGCACGGACAAGCGCGGGGACAGCAGAAGCGCAGGAGGACAAGACCCGAACACAGGGTTGGCCGGCGGCGCAGCCACTGATTGGCCAGCCTGCTTTGTATGGGCACTTAGAGAGACCTTGTTCCAAGGATGTTCCAGAAAGCGACATCGGTCATGAGGCAAGTCAAGAGGCAAGAGATCCAGCAAGCGAAGTTGCGTCCACCAAACATTTCTATGATTGTTGGAAGACAGTGATGTTGGTGTGTTTTCCAGAAAACGACGACAGAAAGGGCTGCCGGATGAGGAACTTGAAGGCCAGAGCTTCCCGAGAATTCCCAAGACACCTATTGCAACTGGAACAGTGACAGATGCAGTCAGGATGAGCAACGAGCAACAATATGATGCTACTAGTAGGAGGACGCTGCTAGGAGCAAAGGGCATCGCTACTAGGAGCAAGGACGCTTCTAGGGTCTCCTGGCCTTACTACGAACGGAACAAGAACTGGACCAACTGCCAATTTGCCGCTTGGACCGGGTGTCATAGACCCCGCCGAGGATGTTACAGAAGAGGAGGAAGGCGGAATGAACGAGTAGGTTGGAGGCCATAGGAAGACACGAAAGAAGACATCAGGGGTCCACTACGGCAGTGGCTTCCTGAAGAACTGTATGTTTTTTGAGCCCACTGCAAATCTTTTCCGGTGATGGGTCGCTATGAATTGGGCCGAGGCGACTGGACAACGATGGAAACTTCAAGAACCCAACCCGAAACAAGAGATGGCCCAATACCGGCGAGTTTCCGCAAACTTTCCCACCTGAACTGTTTGTCTTCGAGCAGCTGTGAGCCGCTTCAAACAACGAAGTTCGAGACATTCAGTTTGGTGCCGATGTCTCGTGATGTCTCAGCTTGCGCCTGGTTGTCTTCATTTGTCTTCCATCAACTTACTGTAACCTTTCGATGCTGTTGATGTTGCTTTGAAGCCTGGCTAAACGGTACTGGATGCCCGTTGAACATCGCGGATCGGGCTCCGGTCCGCCTCCAGAGTATCAACCTTTAGCCGCAGCCTTCCCCCTGTTGACCGTCAAGAGGAGTTCTGAAAGGAGCAACCTGATACCAATGGTCTCCCTAGTTTTTGGCCCGCTCCCCCCCTCCCTACTTAATTAAGTAAGGGTTTAAGTAGCTACTTATACCTGTTGGACGCAGGATAGCTCGCGCAACTCATTTGGTTCCTAGGTACTTAGGGAAACTTAACTAGTAGCTTCTTGGTACTAGTAAAATTGCCAGGAGCTACTAGTAGTGTCCTTGCTACTAGTAGTGATGCCCTTGTTTCTACTAGCAATGACCTCCAACATCCTCCAACCTAATAGCGGTCTCCTGTCAAGAGGAGTTTCGAAAGGAGTCAATTTTAGGTTCGTCGCCGTGGTGCGAAACTCAAATTTTCAGGTATCATCCTTGACCTTTTCGACGAACTTGACCGGCTATTGTAGGCCACATTACCTCACAGATCCCTTCTTAAGGAGTCAGGAGAAGACCTATCAAATCACTTCTATCTTTTGGCCCCAACCCACCACATCCTCCACAAGAAGTTGGGAAAGCACACGCAGATGAAGTCGTACGCAGTTGATGTGCACACTAAAAACCCATACGATGGCGAGAAGTTCTGCAAGCGGAGCCCTAATCAACACCTAATATGGATTAGATGTGAATATTATATGCAGCACTAGTAACAAGTGCCTCGCTAGTAGTAACAGGTGCCTTACTAGTAGTAACAAGAAGCTAGTAGGAACAAGTGCATCGCTACTAGTAACAAGAAGCTAGTAGAATAATAACGCAGGCCGTCGTCTTTCGTTTCAGTGTTTGGGACGCTACCCTCATGTGTGCGCCACGGTGCAGCGTCGGACGTCACTTGGAAAGCCCAGCGCCACCAGGAAGTCCGTTTTCCGTGAGATCGCTTCGGTCACACAGCTGAGACGCAGCAAGCTGAGAGTTGCAAAGTGACTCCACTTTGCAGCTTTTCTTGAAAGTTGAAACGCTTTTGTTTTCAACGACTATACTATATCTATACATCAAACCTTGTTGCATCCCCGAGTTGCCAGGTGGCGATCATTGCAAACTTGACAGCATTGAAGTTTTTGCACGAGTTTTCTGCAGACACGAGTGGCCACTTGCTCTTCGTTTGAGGCATGATTACTTTAAATGTTTTGCGCTGCTTGAGCCCAAATATCGATTATTTTGTGCCTTGGGCGGATTTCGTGAAGAGAGTGAAATTCTGAAAAGAGAAAGAAGTAGGCAAGTGAGGTCATGGCCCCATAGTTGAGGCCAGCTATGCCTTTTCTGTGTTCCAAGGTCAGTTTGATGGGATCCTTGGAACTGTTTCATTTATATCATCACTTTGTCATTTTGGACGATGCGTTGGGCTCAGCATAAAAGAGCAGTTTGGCAGCCGCATGCAGAGGAATTTCCCGTTTTCCCAACCGTGTGACAAAGAAAGGACATGAACGCAATTATAAAGAAGAGATAGGAAGAGTATAAAGGGTTTAGATAGCAAAAAAGACAATCTTGAACAGCTTGATTCAGGTGAGCCACGTGGATGAGTTTGGCGTTCCCCGCACAAAGCAGGACTGGGACGTAAGCGCCACATTCTTTTTGACGTTGCAATCGAGTCGCAGTGTTCGGGCCGACCGCGAAAATGTCGAGAGCAAAAAGGGAGGAAAGAATCGTTGGAGCCGGAGCCCACAAGTTATGACAAGTCCTTTATACAAATGTGTCTATCATGGCGTTTCTTTATATTGATGTTTTTATTATGGCTGTTCCTTTGTCTTTGGACATTAGACCTTTTAACCCTTTGACCTGTTCATATAATGTATAGCTGGTGTTTTTTTCCGGGTTCGTGTTATTTTCTATTTCTTTTAATTTTGTTGTTTTGCATCAACGTCATTAAAATCGTTTGTTTCTACCATAAGTTTTTGAGAATTACTGGAGCCAGCAAACCATGAAGTAGTCATCGTGTGCCAGCAAAATTGCTGCATTCAGATTGGAGAACTTCTGGTTTGTCGATCGAATCGAAGCTGGTCATTTGAAGAAAGGGCACACAGATGTGTCATGAAAATGGTAAAGGTAAAGTTTGAACAAGGAAAGTAGGGACTCAAAAAAAAAGGCCTTACCTTCCTTCACGAATTTGTGCTTTGACTGATGTGCCTGTTTCCGATAGTTCTGACTCCCAAGTTGCTCACCGCGCAGAGTTCGGCGTTTCACGGCTCTGGCGTTCCCAGAACGTTCGAAAGCGTGCGATTTCGGTGAATGGTTCCCTGTTCAGCTGTGGCGCCACATTCCACGCTCAGTTTGGCTTTACTCAACGTGTTTAGAGAGACACAAGACCAAGAATGTTTTGTAACACGCAAGTGCAGCCTATTTCTACAATGCTACATTCAGTCATTCGCGGCATTTATTGTTTTCTTCAAACTGGCTAAGACATTTTGAAACAAACGAAGTGGCTAGGTTCAAACAAGCTTTGGCTTTATGCGATTTCGGTTTTGCTGGATGCAAGTATGTTCAGTCAGTGGAGGGCACGTGCCAGGACAAAATCGTGCATATCATGGAGTATTCCAACACAGTGGAAGGCTTTGTAGAGGAGTTGCGTTTGCACCTAAGTTGTGCGCTTTACTGGTGTCATTATCGTTCTTACATGTTCTTACCATTTTTGCAAAAGCACCTTCAGATAAAAGACGCCGAGGTGTAAAGAGCTTTGGTGCATGGCACAGTTTTCCAAAGATTCTCTTCGACTGCACTCTAAAGAAGGCAGTTTCCTTTTACAGCGTTGGGGCTTCAGGTGCGTAAGAACTGGGTAACACGTTAATGCTTTTTTTTGTTTTGTTTGTGCTTCTTTTTTCAGCTCGAAACATATACAAAAGATTCTTACTGTCTTGATGTTTCTTGTCTCGCAAGCTTTCTCCCCGCGTGTTCCATCCACTCTCCGGTGAATCTTCCGTTTGGTGGATCAACTTGCTCCGGTTCAAAGCCAGGTTTCATTGCGTTGGGAATTCGATTTTGAAGGTGAAGCACCTTTGTGGAAATATGCGCCCATAATCAAAACCAATTTTGGGTGAGCGAGTCGTTCTACAGTCGCCGGTTTGGGCTAGAGGCTGTCCACTTACGGAAACCATTTTTACAGATTGTAATTCCTCCGTTTGCAGGAATTTTGAACATATGTGGCCTTGAGAGAGGGGAGGCCACATAGATGCTGAATCTTTAGTGGGCACCATGGCAACTATTCAACACTTCTTCCCAGTACTTCCTCAACAGACTTCCTGAAGGGGAATATGTGTATGTGACATGTGATTTTATGAATGTGTGTGCTTTTGGTTCGTGTTCGTGTTCGGCTTTTCAAGGCTTTAGACCGGTTTTTTTCTTCCCTTCTCGAGAAACATGCTGGACGTGGCATCAAGCTTTGGGATTGGAAATGTTTGTGTTGATTCTCATTATGACTCATAACCCTTTTTTGAACAACTTGGGAGGCTCATCAGACACAGCTTGTTACTTGTTTCGTCCAACTGCTCCATTCGCTATTTCTTCTTTGTCAGAACTGCTGCGCGTTTTAGTTTGCAATTTGCATCTCAGCTTTTCTCACATTTGGCAGGCTCGATGTGATCGGGTTCCACTTGCCGACTATGGTGACATGCCTCATATTTTCCGAATGGAGGAGAGAGGTGACACGTTATACGTGACACGTCCACGTGCATGCGCATCGACCTGACTGACACCCGGGCACCGAAATAGAAACATGTTGTGCAAGATTCCAGTGAACAAAATGCTTCTTGTTCCGTTCGTAGTAAGGTCAGGAGCCCCTAGTAGCGTTCTTCTCCTAGTAGCGATGAATAAAACGATGCACATTTTGCTTGCAAATTTTGGATAGAACGGATAGGAATACATGATCTCAGCACTCCCGGCTAGAGCTCGAGGTTGGGGATGGTCTTGAAGGACTATATAAATGATACCAAATGCAAATGTAGAAACATCAAAGGGTACTGCGGTAAACTGTTTGAAGTTGTCATTGTCCACAAGCAGGCTCCGAAAGGGTAGATGATAAACGATTGTTCCATATACCAAAACTTTCCATGGGAGCGAGGTAGATGGGTTTGCATGGTTTTGCTCACGTGTTTGGGCAACAAGCAGAATGGCCACGAGAGGAGGCACTCTAGCCTGGAGCGACATTTGGATAGCAAAAGAGCTGGGTGCACCGCAGAAAAGCACCCTGGAGAAGACAGAAGAAAGAAACAGAAACTCAAAATCAAAAAGAGTTCAAGATGGAGGCCACGAACCCGAATGCACACACGTACACAAATGCAAACGACCAAACAAAAACACATCTTTCTTCTGGTCAACCAGCTGCATCGTCCAAAGTTGTGAAGTTGAGGCGCTGTCAGCCTGCAACTACATGTTCAATCATCAAACCAAAAGTGACGCGTCAGGCCATCCGCTTTTGTTCTTCTTCGCATCGATATACATTTGGCGCTGCTTCTTCCAAAGCCCGAAAATGTACTCATTGCAAGTGGAGCTACTTTTTCCCGAAAGCATTGCGAAGGGTTCTTCCGGAAAATCCTTTGAACACTGACACTTCGACACTCACACTTATGAACACTGACACTTCGACACTCACACTTACACACACACACACTGGAAGAGCGAAAGCATCCAAGTGCGAAGTATGCCAGTGTCAAAGTATGCAAGTGTAAGTATGCAAGCATGATATGCAAGGGTGAGTATGCAAGCACGCAATGACTATGCAAGCATGCAATGAGTAGGCAAGTGTGAGTATGGAAAACTAGCACGGGAGATGTCCTAATGAAAAAACATTTCCCCACTTTATAAATTCTCTCTTAAAGGCGGAGTGCGGGACGAACAGCGTCAACCGAAAGTGCAACCCTCTGCGGAGATCGTGCGTGTCGAGTGCGCGAAATGCAGGTGAGAGTGCGATTTGTCCGGTGCGCGCGCAACCCTCTGCGGAGATCGTGCGTGTCGAGTGCGCGAAATGCAGGCGAGAGTGCGATTTGTCCGGTGTGCGCGCAACCCTCTGCGGAGATCGTGCGTGTCGAGTGCGCGAAATGCAGGTGAGAGTGCGACTTGCCGGCTGCGCGCGCAACCCTCTGCGGAGATCGTGCGTGTCGAGTGCGCGAAATGCAGGCGAGAGTGCGATTTGCTGGCTGTGCGCGCAACCCTCTGCGGAGATCGTGCGTGTCGAGGGCGCGAAGATGAGAACTGGCGACTTTGTAGTACAACTTTAGTACGCGGAGCAATCTGTGGAGCTGGAAGCTGAGAACTGGCGACTTTGTAGTACAACTTTAGTAC